TTTTTTACTAAACAAAATATAATTTGTAATGTTTGGATCGTTAAAAAGTTAAGTAATTATACATTTAGGAAATCTTAGTATTTTTTGAATTAGTAAAAATTATATTTGTTTAATAATGTTTATTATATACAAATGTCTAAAAAATTCTTTGAACACGAAAGAGTGTATACATTTTATTCTATGAAGATTTGAAAATTTAAGTAAACTGATTAGACTTGGTATTAATAATAATTAGTAACATAATTTTGTTAAAATGTTACAATCATAATATGGTATTTAATTTTTATACAATACATTTTAGTGATCGAGTGCAATTATTCAGTAAAAAAAATCTTAAATTTGTTACCTACATGATAAAAATCTAATAATCATTGTTGCTTTGGCAAGTACGGGTATTAGGTAACAATAAAAAAAAATACTAGGTAATAACAACAATGACTTAAAATAAACACGAAGGTCGTTTTTTATTATCGGTTACAACCATCAATACTAAGCACTTTTTTAAACAAATTATTTGATAATAAGTCATTATGACTTTTTTGAATGTATACTTGAGTTTGATTTCTTATCATGTTTACTGTAAACTTTAACCCCAGGGGGTGATATACAGTAATGCAGTTAGTAAGTTTTATTAATTTTCAGCGATACCGCGTTTATTAGGCGTTCATTGATGTGATACCATATTAAATTGTATATAATGTTCAGCCATTTTGAGAATATTTTATGTCATACGAAAATTATAACCAATGAGTACTTGCTTTATACCATTTTCCAATAAAATTATTCTTACTGGTTCTTTTAAATTTTATATGCTTAATATAGTAAATATGAATGCACGCTTATCATTGACATATTTTTTTTGTAGTTGGTAATATTTTATTGCAAAATTTATACTGTAAACCGGTACAAATTACTTTTCGCTAAATAGCCCACCATATTAGTAAGTACAGTGCAGTAGTAATTTTTTATTAGTTGTATAAAATAATAAAAATTGATTGCATTATCCTTTATATTGTATAAAACAAATACGTCATAAACATTCATTTTTGTCATGAAATTAAAAAAAATGGCGTTAAAAATAATTGTTATTTCTAAAAAGAAAAAAATATATGATATTATGTTCTTGAGTAGCATTTATTAAACAACAGAAACTGGAACGTTCTGAAAAAAAATTCAAGTGTGAACTATATATTTAATGAAATTCCTGAAAAACTTAAAGAGATATAATAGGCTTAATTGGTATTATATGGAAACCTTTGTCTAAGTAATGTTTTAAAGTTAATTGAGTTCTAAAAAAACTGAGAGATTACAAATTGTATACTAGTACGAATCCTATTATTATTATATACCTGGGACTAAGTAATCTGAAAACTGTTGCGTGTACTTTTACAAATATATGTTAGGTCAAGTTTTTTTATCGTTAAATATTATTAATTATTAAAATTAGTATGAAACCAACTTAAACATTGATCATGGTTTATTTGGCCGCCGATTTGGGACGTCGCGTTTTCGTTTGACCGTTATTTCCGGCAATGTCATGAGAATTCTACAATTCGGCAATAATGGCGTGTACGCATGGGACACCTGATAACTATTATGGAAAATAAATATTATGTTTATATCAACGAACAATAGAAGGTTGTTTATATTGAAAAATTCTGCGGTTGTTCGTGAAAATCACCAAAAACAATTGGGTCGTTTTTTGCCAAAGTCACAATGTCAATGTCAACAATTCAAATCATAACAAAAATGTTAAACAGAATACAAGCTTCCCGGTTAATGACTAGTGACCAGGTATATAATAAAAAAAACACTGATTTTCACCAACTACAGTCTACAAGTACAAACCTCACTCGGTTTACTCGGATAGATAGTTACAGCTCCTAAGATAATAATTGACGTGTAAGTAGTAGTAATGTAATTTGTAGCCATTTGCCAGTTGACGAGACCTCTCGAATAGGTTCAACACAACAACTTCAGAGTTTTACATAAGTGTGATGAATTATTCGAATTTAATGATAATTGAAACAAACACCGTAGTATATGTGCCGAATCACATGTGGCTACAGTAGTACTTTCGCTTTGACTAATAGCGTTCGTTGGCCGTCAAGTTTCGATCTCTTGAAATTATTGTCCATTTCTGATTTGTAACGTCTCAAACACACGATAATTTATCAAATTTATAGTTTTCTCTTTTATCATAAGTACAGACTTTGCCCAATCCAATAATAATTACTTTGAATTTATATACCAATTCGTTCAATAATTATGGCAAATATAGTGATTACTTTTTGTCTAAACTCGTCATGATATATATTTTTTGGTTTATAGTTATTATTATTATTTAGCAGCTTAAAACCACTTGTGAGATATTATTTCCGCTGGAAAAAGTGCTTATGTGTAAAAATATTACTTCCTAACACATTTATGCATAACGTTTATGGTATGATTGGCACATAATAAAGCTGGCGTGTGATGAAATTAATAAAGACTAAACATATATAGAATAACGTATATTATGATATTATATGTATATTATCTGTTAATGACTTTCAAAATTCGTTCGCTGCGTTCTATAATCGAAGAGAGCGTAATGGGAAAAGTCAAATTAATTATGTCCTAAATGGAAGATTGCAACATCTATCAAGACTGTATGTTTAAATACATGTATAGCCATGCAACTTAGTTATTAAGTATAATCTACTCATTCACACGTCTCAATACTCTGTATATTTGTTCGTCGTGTCTTAATAATTAAGAAGAACCGCCTGTCTGCCAAACAAATTAATATTTGATCGACACCTTCAAAACATCAATCAATCAGTCGCATAATACTCAACAGTGTATGTTACACGAATTAAAGCTGGCAGAACATGTATCATTACTAGCTAATGAAATAATAAATGCTTACTATTTTCAGCATTAGATTTATGTAAAGAGAGGAGTAATGGGTTAATAGAATGAGTAAGACGGTAAACAGGAAGCATGATAGGCTTAAGAGGACTTTAAAAAAGTATGTTTTTAAGATAATCTTGAAATTTAAATTATAAAGTATATATATATATATATATGATAAAGTAAGTTCAATTATATTTATTTAGTATTACTGCGGATATTGCGTTTTTTGATAAGCTTAAAACTGCGTTGGAGCACTTGCCCAGTGCACTTAATTGCAATATGTGAATTTTAAAAATAATAATTATTTAAAACAATAATAGAAAAGTTGTTATAGGTAACTAGTTACTGCTAATTGGCTCGTCCGGTAAATAATAATACAAACAATATTTTAATTTTTTGGTACAAAAAAAATAATTTTGGATTTAGGGTTTGTCCTGTATGGTTTATTATATAAGCAGTTATTATATTTTAACGAACACTATAGTATAAATACAAACATAAATTGTTAACCGCATGCATCCAATATGTTTGTTATTATTTTTATAAGTAATATTATTGTGTAAAACGGTTGGAAAATATTAGCGCGTTACTCAATTGTAAACCGTTATTTTGTTAAAATACTTTAATATAAATTATAATCTATCGTACACGTTTCTAAAATCATTTTAAAATATGCAAAAAATAAGTAATTGTTTATTCTTAGCAATATAGTGTCTAAGAAATTGTAGTGTACCTAATGATCGTGCACGTTTATTTAAAACGCGTGCAACGGTTTTTTTTTTTTTGTTATTTTATTATATTATGATCATTTGGCAGGCTTCGTTAAAAAAACAACAATAATTATGTTTATTATCAGTGGAATAGCGTGATTTCGGCTTTTCTCCGTCGTTTCCATAATATGTCTTCGGTCTGGTAACGAATTGACGAAATCGTGAACGTTCAACCTAAACATTTTAAGGGAAAAAGAATCCTCGGAGCGGCAAGTCGTCGTTAACGGTGTACTGTAAACGCTGTAATACATCATACGCCTAACGTGTATGTATGGAAATAAGTTAGGGAAAAAAAAAAATGTACAATAAATTTCGAAAACAAACAAAATATTGTACACTCGGCGGCGACCAGAGAGTCACGAGTTGTTCCGAAATCAGAAGAATATAATGTATGAATGATAGTCAAATGATATGAACACAAGAGGAAAAAAATATATGTAATTGCGTTACGCCCGCAACTCGTAACTTAACAGGCGTTGAAGTCGTCACGGAGGGTCAGATGTCAATTAATAAATTTAAAAAAAAAATAGGTAACTGGTTATAGTAAGCGGTAAACTGCGTGTGCCAATCGGACTACTTAAAACCGATTATAGTGATAATTATTGTAACTTCGTTTTACGGTTAAAAATCGGGGAAAATAATTTTTAGTTATCACCTGTGTTTTTATTGTGTTGTTATTTTAAAATTACATAAATAATACTGGAGTATACACAGAGAAAAATATTAACTCAATTTTACTTAACATAAAGGTAAATACACCACAATATTATAAAATATTATAAACTTTCAATTCGACTAGTCAAAAAGTACAAAAACATTATTGTAAATTTATTGAGTTAATAAAATTTCGTACGTTAAAACTGTTTAAATTCAAAAAACCGTTTTTTTTTTATGTCGTGGAAAATCCATAAACTCAAACCTATACCACGTTTACAACACATTAATTCTTGTCTAAAAAAATAATGTTTATAATAATATTATTATTATCGTTTCGCATCGAAGCCTTTATTATTATTATTATAATTATTCCCGAAGACCCGCGATCATTGCTAACCCCACCGTGGTTGTTTTTTTTAGCGCGGTTTACAAACAAATAAAATCGGCTGGTGTAATTTTTTGGCCGTTACATTAATACACAAATTGACAATGGGTATAATAATAATAATATATATTATTTTTAGGTATACTAATAATAATAACAATAATTTATATTATTATTGTTGGGTATCCGTCGACCGTCGGACTTGGAGATAAAAAAGACTGTGGAGGGAAGAACCACGAACGGGTCTGACAGGTAAAGTGTGTCCGGCGACGCCAACACTGCCGTTGTTGTTGGCTGCCGGTTTGTTCATTCCGTCGTGCGGTCGCGGTCCGTGCGTGTCGTCCGTTGCCGTCGTTGCATGTACAGCTCTTATTATTTTTCACTAGTGGTATGATCGTAGTCCGTGCATGTACTAATATACCATAATAATATATACTATTATATTATATTAAAGTATTATAGTAACAACGTTGTCGCAGCCTGTTTTAGTGCGCCGCGCATCAGAGTTCCGTTCTTATTTCACACACGTTATAATTATACAAACCGACATGTGCGACTCGGATGACTGCTCGTATAGAGGTGAGTTGGTGTTTTTTTAGTTATCATTTTTTTTATCTTCCCCCACCCTCGGTACAGGTCTTGGTGTAGGTGAACGGCTTAAAGTTCGATTTTCGTACGAGGGCTTTAATCGAACGACGATGTCAAACTAGAAAAAACGTTCACAGACTCGAAAAGCGTTCGGGCGTTTAGGTCTCCCGGGTTGGCCGACACAAGGGAAATATATTTTAAGGTTTTCATAAAAAAATTCGTTAGTTTCTTGAATACTCTCTATTAACCCACTCCGTCATTAATTATTGTTTAAAATAGATACATCTCTACATATTGCATATTGGACAAGTTGATTATTTATCAAAATTACTTATACTAATGAGGTCTATCATGACCGATAACGCGTCCGGCGGTGACTTGTTCGAGCAAGTTTGAAATCGACTAAGCGACTGGGGATAGGTTTAAGTACGTTAAAATTGCCAGGATTGCTTTCCCGTTACACGCGTGTAAGGACGAAAAATTGGCCATGGATGTAAGGTACTAAAAATTACAGTCATCGAGCCCCTGTGTTATAATTTTTATTACGCCTAGCGGCAAACGCTTGTTATTATTTATTACCGGAGCAATAAAATACAATTTAAATGGAATATTAGACACACCCACACCTGTAGTTTGGGCCATCTCCGTTGAATTTTCCGTCATAGATAGGATGTCCGACTAGTTAGTTACTTAAAACGCGCACACTTTACTTTAGGGAACCTGACCGAGTGGTTATTATTCTTTGGAAACGGCCTTAGTGCGTGTTACGGTCAACAGAACGCGATTCTCCGCATTACGACACTTGTGTATACCTTATACGCACACAAACATATACACCGAGGAAGTGGTTTTGCCTGAAAGTCGGCTCGGGTAATATAAACGTCACTGCAGAGAACAATAATTGCATTAGTCATCGCTGAACGTGATGTGTGATTTACCGTCGTGCGGCTGGCGATTGTTATATTGTTTTAGGATAGCATAAGTTGAGCGCGTGTGGACCGAGAAGGCAAGGTATCGGTCAGCTCTTCCCTGAAAACACTTCCAAAGCCCTAGCGACCGGTCAGAAATGCCCCCCCCCCTCAGCAAACTGCACTTGCGGAGTGGTGATTCGAATTAACTATATTAATACCTATCGAACAATAACAATATACCTATTTAAATTTATCATTTGACCAGTGACCACCCATCTAACCATGTCCAATGGAGGAAAAAAGGAGGCCCCCCTTTTCAATCTTATGACGGACCCCCCATGCTGGTACAAAAGAAACGGCAAACTAAGGGTTGTAAAAACGAGGGGGCGGTAAGACTCTAAATTTTGATTGTCCGCGAACGGTCCGTTTCTTCTGTCGAATGATTTCTTTGTGGGCCCTTTCAACGCGAGTGTCCGGTCGGTTTCAATAGGATCTTGCCGCATTGCCGGTACAGGTGCGCGGGTTCTTGCGAATGTGTGCATCTTGCTTTGTTGACAACAGATTGTACTCTCAGATACATTTAACAGGGTTCGAAACCGGTTTCTTCGGCGCAAGCGCCGAATTCCTTTACGGAATGCGTTCAAAAAAAAAAAAATGTTCAAAGTCAAACAAGTTTCAACGGATGTATGAATACCTCTATTACGTACCATCGTTGAACTAATGCATCTCATTCTTACATCTTGTTCCTCGGCTCTGCGACGACCCAGGCGATTGTGTTTAACAGAAATGTTGTCGAGGTGTCTTAAAGTCTGGAAGAAGTCTTTATGGTGGCCGTTCTTGGCGGTTGGTGGCAATAACCCAGCAATGCACAGAACAGTTGAATAGTTGAATTCTCTGACTTTCTTATGGCCCGGGTTCGGCGCTTAAAGTATTTGCTATATTTTTTTGGCATGACATAAAATCTAGCAGAGTGCTATTAAAAGTTATGGAATTGAACTTGAAAGAGTTTTTTGCTTATTTGGATGGACTTTAAAAATTGATGTTAACTAGTTTTTTATGGGTTTTTTTTGACATATTTTATCTTTGTGACGACGCAGGCCACAGAAACCCAAGTTTTTTTATTATTGTGTGTATTATTATTTAGCGATAGAACTAAAACTAAAAATAATTTCACCTTTGTGTTCTATTACCAAGTATTGGTACCCAACTCGTATTTGTTTTGTTTTTGTTGTCTCTTTGTCGCGTCGGTCGTCGGTGGCCATGTGGTAATAAAAATATTTCACCGCTATTATAACGTTGCGTTATGGAAAAACAAACTATATAAAATTGATTCCTGGTATATATCAAATAGTTTCAATAAACAATATTATTTGATCTGATCGCCGCTGTATGATCATACGTTTTGAGAACCAGAAGTGTTTGCTATTTATAACAGATTATTTTCATTTAATTAAACATCATTCTGTATATTGATGGTTTTTTTAGGCTAAGAAAAATATATTCAGCATAGGCACAAATACCTGGTATTAACTTAGACGTTTCTAAGGTGATATCCAATTTTTTATTTTTCGGAGTTAGAAGCGCTACAATTTTTGAGATTTCTGTTTTTTGCTTATTTAAATTTTTTGCAAGTTCTTGTTTGAGTGCTCGTAATCCTGCTTATGACGGACGTTCTCGACAAAATATCTCGACTGTAGCGAGATATGTTTAGTCGACGGATTGCCAGCAGAGCTATATTGCTCAAACAAATTTCTTTTATTCTTTGCCAAATAGGCAGCATGATGTCGAGATTGTTGTCTGGCCACTGGCCTGGGATTTTAGAATTTTCCAGAGAATAGCTAGATACATGTAGTAATGACCCTCGGGAGGCGCTCGATTGCCACCGAATAATTTATTATTATACACATTACATATTATATATTTGTATTATTGCATATTGTGCACGGTCGTTCCAGTACAGTAATTAATGAGTTCCTCCGGTAGACAAAACGGCCCAGGTTTACCGACCTTCGCGTTATTATACGCATTCGTATACACACACTTAATCGCATGAACTCTCACAGCATGATACCTCCTAGCCGAGATGTAAATTTCGCCGATCAAGAGATTTGTTGAGGTCGTTATCACGAGTTTTATACTCGCCTCCGGTAAAAACATATTTTATTATATTTTCGCAACACTGAAACCGCTAATTTCATAACAATGTTCGTCTGATAGTGGCGTCCAATCATTTACAAACAAGCCGCACGAAAAATCTCAGTACCTACCTATATATACCATGCATTTCTTTAGCCTAAGTATATTAGAAACAGAGCTGAGCGCGTTATTTTATTTGAGTAACTCGTTAAGTAGATCGACTAGTTAAATTACAAGTTACCCATTGTAAAAAAAACAGGAACGTGAAAGTTACTACAAAGTCGCCGATTTTTGTAATCTTAAACTTTGTAACTAGTTACTGCCCAGATTTAATTAGAAATATCTAAATCAGAAATTCAATACTAATAATATTTTTGATATTTATTACAAAAGTGAAAGGATCATAAAAAAATAATCTCTCTTAACCAATTAATTGATAAACCATTAATGATTTCGCTTGCAATCTTGTAAATGATATTTTGATGATATTATTGATAAACATTTTGACCGTAAATTATAGTTTAAACAGAATAATAAGTGCATACTGGTTTCATTATAATATTATAATTTAACAATTCTGGGACAAACGCAAAAATCGGTAAAGAGGTATTTGAACATTTCTTTTTAACTGAGAGAATTCCATTGTTTTACTTCAATTGCTTATTAGTTTAATGTAGCTTAATGCAAAATATTGCTTAGGACAGCGTGGCAATTTCTATGTTATTCGAAGTATATGAAGTGCAGCTAAGCTTTGGATCAAAAGATTTCAGCAAAGACGGCATAAACGATAACATCTGATCTACCGTCTAATGGCGGCGGCGTCTCGGGCAAACAAATAGTTTGTTGAGCGCCAGTAAAAACAATGCATACCGGTTTCGGTGTATCGCAACGTTCGATTATAAATTAGTATCAAATACAATGGGTTTGATGTCGAGAGAAAAACCTATAACCGTATGGACCGCCGACGCAGACGTCTGTAAGGGGGAAAAATCACATGTAAAATGTCTACCTGCGGGGGCTAGCCGGACAGGAATTTAAGTCGAAACCGCCCATTTTCAGACCCATACTACCTGAATGCGTTTAAAGCGTATAATATCATATACTATTTATAGTGTGTATTTTTTTTTTTGTGCTAATAATATATATATAACAACCAACCGTCGTCTTGCGAAAGGGCCTCTGGCGGATCTGTATAGTGTATACCTACTATAAATCTACCGATAGCTGTATAATCTTGTAATTAGCCAACGCGTTTTATTAATTGACACCGGGATTGTGGTGTTCGGTTGGTTTTTATCCGTAAAAAAATTAACCGGGCCGTGTACACCGCGTTTGGGCATCGGTAAAACTAGTTTTCTCGCCAAATGCACGTTCGCCTAGACCTAACCGATATAGGTATAATTAGACGTAAAACGCCATTAAAAACTATCATGTTCAAATGGCACTAGACACGTAGTTCGCTGGTTCAATTCATTTATGGGTATCGGCAATCGCGTTGCTATTGAACGCGTCCGTTTGTTCACGGCCGTTAGCGGGATACAAGGCTCGATACATTTATGTATTATGTATTGTGCTGTTAGCAGTACATATTGGCGGGGAGAAAGTGCGGTGTATTATCATTACTACGGTGTATATCTTAGAAAAATGATTGATGAAAATCTCCAACTCGATATTCTGTGCCGTCTGTATGACATTTCAATACAAATAAATAACTAATAAAAATTTGTTTAAATAATCAACGATACAATTTTAAGGTGTCCGATTTTTGTACTTTTGCCCAGCTTTTATACGTCACAAACTCTACCGATTGATCAGGCCAATTACATTAATTATCTTGATGAATTTTCCGATTTCGTCATTAATCCGCGCGAGAACAACAATTACTGTTATATTATTACAAAAAACGCTATGTCGCCTTAATAATAATAGCATTGCCGTGCCGTA